AATGCAGGTACAGATATCGGGAAAGAGAGCAAGCCTATAATTATTAATTCAGAGGAATTCATGTAGAGCTATTAATCGTATGCTTAACATTAATGAATGCAGATAGATAAGAATGCAGAAAAAGAAGAGGCTAAAGAAGGGTCATATTCTGGGGAATAGAAGGAGAAAAGAGAAGTAGATAAAGACAAAACAGGTATTCCATGGAACAGAAATAGAACCTTGAGATTAAAGCATTGCTGAAATAGAAGGAGAACAATGTTTCAAAGCAGAAAGTATGGACAGCAGTGTCAAATGTGCCATGGAGTTCAGAACGAGGGCCAAGATAGCTGTTGGGTAGGGAATTAATCATTGGTGATCTTTAAGATAACAGCTTGAAATGTTGGTGAGGATAGAAATTAGATTTCAAAAAAAAAAAAAATGAGTGGAGAAACATAGGCAAAAAAGTCTTTAAGACACGAGGTTGTATTTCTTAAATACAACATCAAAAACACAATCTATAAATTAAAAATTAATAAATTGAACTTCATCAAAATTAAAAATATCTGCTCTTCAAAAAGTCACTATTACAGGAATAAAAAGACAAGCCACAGACTGTTAGGGAATATTTTTAAATCATATATCTAATAAAGGAGTTGTATTTAAAATATTTAAAGAACACTCCAAACTCAACAATAAGAAAGCAAACAACCCAATAGAAAAATGTACAAAACATAGAGCAGTTTCTTTATTAAAGAAGATATAAAATAAGCAATGATGGAAAATGGAAAATAAGCAATACCTATGCTCAGAATCATCAGTCACCAGCAATTTAAAACCACAATGAAATACTACTATATACAGTTAATAGAATGACTAAAATTTTTAAAACTGTAACTATACCAAATGTTGGAAGAAAACCTGAAACAACTTGAACTCTTATACACTGCTGGTGGGAATATAAAATGATGCGGTCACTTTGGAAAGCAGTCTGTTCCTTAAAAGTTAAACATTGACGTATCATATGATCACATCATTCCACTCAAAGTGTCTGCCCAAGAGAATTGAATGCATGTGTCCATTCAAAAACTTGTATACAAATGTTCATAGCATATTTGTGTTTGTAGTTTCCAAAAACTGCACACAACCCAATTGTCCATCAACTTATGAGTAGATAAACATATTATATTATATCCACATCATGGAACACTGAACAGCAATTCAAGGAACAACTATACCAAGGATGAATCTCAAAATAAGTATTCTTAGTGAAAGAAAGAAAAAAAGAATATATGTTCTACAATTTCATTTCAGTTAATGAAATGTTAGAAAATAGAAACTAACACAAAGTGGCAGAAGGAAGATTAATGGTTGCCTGGGGATGGGGTAGGGGTGGAGTGAGGTGGAGAAAGCTGGAGGGGAAGGACTACATGGGGCATAAGGAGATTTTTGGGGAGTGATAAATATGATTATTATCTTGATTTGGGTTTAAACAAATGTGAAAACTTATCAAACTATACTCTTTAAATATGCTCAGCTTATTGTACGTCAATTATACCTCAATAAAGCTGATAAAACATATTGGCACAGAGAGGAATTCAAAACATTTGAATAGGGATGCTGTGAGGATTAAATCAGTTAATACATGTAAAACATGTAAAACCATGTCTGGTATGTAATAAGGACTCAGTAAATAGTAACTAATAATGTGAAAGGGACACAATTCAAGGATTAAATATAAATTGTGGAAGGGGTGCCCCCACCTACACTGTCTTTAATACAGGAATGAAAGGATTCAAATGATTTTCTAACATCATGGAGGGAAAGTTCTTGTGTAAGAATAAAGTAGGAATGAGTGTATCAAATTTTGTTGAAATCATGCATAAGCCATAGTTTCCATACTCAAGAATATTATAGTAAAAATTCAATTGAAAGTAGATTACAGCCTGACAACTTTATCAGTTACCGCAAACTCTACATTACTTAATTCTTTCAATTGATTATAATTTCATGATTTTACACATGGCATCCAACAGGGGGTGCTAAAATTAGAACGCTTCATTATGTTGCAGATTGCAATGTACTGGCTTCAGATAATTAACTGGTTGTCTTCTCTGAACCAAGCTAAGATGAATACTAATCAGAATATTAGGATGGGCAGGAGAAAAAAAAGCTTGACAGAAGGGTGTTCAGTCCACCTGAATCTCTTTCTGTCTTCGTGTTCTTTTATATTCCTTGAAAGTTGACTTTCCCTGGTGAAAATGGATAGATGGTGATAAAAGTATGTAAAAGAGATTCTTGACTAAGTAATGGTCAATTTTTATTTGATAAAGAAAATCTAAGTTATATTTTGTGAATGTTATATTTATTAAGGATCAACTAAGTTTCTCCACATGCATTGAGAATAATGATCACGCCTACCTGAACGGGATGTAGTGAGGATTAAATCAATTAATACATGTAAAGCACTTAGAACAATACCTGGTGTATAATAAGCACTCAGTAAATAATAGCTAATAAGTGTTCTGTAATATATTCAGAAAATAAGTCATGTAAAAAGAATGTTTTTCTTGCAATGCAAAGAAAGGAGTGTGTGTGTGTGTGTATGTGTGTGTGTGTGTTTTCACACATACACACACACTTCTTTCTTTGCATTGCAAGAAACAGTGGGTTTCCCCTCTTTCCAATCTGTGCTGTAATTTAATCATAGCTCTCTCTTCTTGAAATCAGTTACTGGATCACTGTGCCTGTAGGACAAAATCTTAACTACTTCCTTGATGATTGAATTAGATTTAGCATGTGAATCTAAGTTTACTTACTACAGCTTGCCTGTAAGAACCCTCCACTGAAAACATGGTCAACATTTTTTTTCTGTCTTTATGCCTTTTGCCACAGCGTGAATTGTCTTCATATTCTCCTAAACACCTGCCATTCCCTCCCAACCCTCAAAATTAATATCAAAAGCCAAATTTAGGTAAAGCCCATGAACAACGTTTGCCCTTCTCCATATACCATTTATAGAACTTATTAAACAGTGACTTGGATTGTGTATCCGTCTTATCACATCTACAAGATTGGATGTGTCTGGAAGCAGAAATCAATAGTATCTTTGTATCATTGTCAACGTCTATCATGTTTTGCACATACAAAATGTTCAATAAATATTTGTTGAATGAATGAGTGAATACAAGGGAGTCATTTATTGGCATAAGTTTATTGTTGCAATGCTCTGAGGATTCTTTGTGTCCAAGAAAAAGGGAAAATCGGGGTTGTTTTTTCTAGAGCAGGAGAGGTAGGGACCCCTAGTTCATTGAAGAAAAAGCAACAAAGTGGGTAAATCTGGAGGAACACACAGGATACCCAGTTCCTCAGTCCCTTCCTGGGCTCTTGCATCAGAAGAAGAGCCTGAAACATGTAGTTTATAAAACCTTACTAATGAGGTACCTGCTGTTATGTCTGCATGAGCTCTACTTGTATACTGAGAGAGTCATTATCAAAAAACATCAGTTCAACATTTGTTATATTAGGGGACAACCTACATTCAAGGCACTTCTAATTTTTGAAATCCATGAATATTTTTGCAGTGTTACCTACTCACAACAGAAAAATGAGAGTCTTGTGGAGGTGCTCTAAAGGCATTAAACCCAAGGTGGTACTCTTTGGAATGGGTTAAGAATTCCTAAGCAAGAAAATTAATTATTCTGCTATAGTGTTTTGCAGTTTACACTTACTTTTTCTTACATCTCAACATATCCTAAAATGACACTGAAAATAGACATAAATATTTCTGTTGTTTCATGAAAGGATACTGATAGTGACTGGGGATCAGAGTGATTATGCAAATTTCCCAGGGTCACCCAGTTAGTAAATGATGGTATCAATGTATCTCTATATACTGTCATATTGGATAATGGGAAACAAAACATTTTAGGGATCAAGGACAAACAAACAAATGTTTGAACCCCCTTTGTTTAAATGTTTCTCTTCATATCAAAACTTTCCATATCTCAATTTTTCTCATATGAATACTTGAAATTTTAAAATTTACTGTAAAGAATTATGAGGATAAATTGACATTACACATGTGGGTATGCACATTGCAAGGTGTTGCTCAGAATAGACACTAATACATATATATACATACACACAAATATATTGATGTACTTATGATGCAGATGTCAGACTCTTGCTTATAAATGAGAAGAGCAGGCATAAAGAGCATTGACCTATGAAACTGATAAGCATTCAATTAAATATGGCTATACTCATTACTAATGCCATTCAGCTGAAGCATCCAGGATTTCACAACAGGACTCTTACAATGTGTACAAACAGTATCACGTGATGAAAGCTGGCAGGGTGGGGAGAGGAGTGAGGGGGGGACTCCTCAAACACATCAGGTACAAATCGTCAAAGGGTAATGTTCTCTGACCTAAAATACTGAGATAATTTCAACATGTTAGCACAGAACCTCAGAGGCTAAATCATTTTCTTTTCCTATTTCTCTCCCTGGTAGTAAAATAGTCCTGTATTGGCTCACAGAGAAATCAATCTATTTCACAGATTCTACTCCAGGACAGAGGGAGAATTAATAAGCATACCCACTGAACATAAAAATAAAAGAAAGTGCTGTGATTTACACTGAATTTTTAGCTAAGGGGAATTGGAACTTAGATCCAGTAGATAATTTTTTTTTTTAAATAGCCCTTGAAGCCACTTAGATATGTTGGTATATGAAAAATACAGTGGGATGGTTGAGGCTAAACACAATCATGCATCGTTTAAACAAAGTTTTACCAGAAAACATATCCCCAAATAACCTTCAAATTATTCATACTTAGGAAAACTCTACATTTATTTTGATGCTATTGCCCATGTACAGCAGTTTAAATGTTCCTCTTTGGAAACTGCCATCAGAATCAATGTAAAAAGCAAAACCAAATCCATTTCTATGTCTTAATCATTGCTCTAATTTTTTTTTTTTTAACCAAGAACATTAGTTTTCAGTTGGAACATGAGTAACCATGAAATGGTGAGCCTATAATAACTATGAAAAATGTCATGTTGTATCATTTTTTTAAAGGGGTTTTACTTATTTGCTTCTGTTTGCAGTAAGGTCCATAATTTAAAATGAGCCCAATTTATTTATTTGTATTAAGAATACACATAAATCGAACTTTCAACTTAATTTATTTATTGAAATGAATAAAATGAGCAGGACTTTTTAAAAAAAGATATTTCACTGGGGAGTCACTTTCCACCAGGATTCTAAAATAGAGCAAAGCACAAATTTCGGCACATTGAAATTTTCTATAGTATACTATTTTTATTTATTTATTATTTATTTATTTTTTGCGGTATGCTGGCCTCTCACTGCTGTGGCCTCTCCCGTTGCGGAGCACAGGCTCCAGACGTGCAGGCTCAGCGGCCATGGCTCACGTGCCCAGCCGCTCCGCGGCATGTGGGATCTTCCCGGACCGGGACACGAACCCATGTCCCCTACATCGGCAGGCGGACTCTCAACCACTGCGCCACCAGGGAAGACCAATATAGTATACTATTTTTAGACTCTCTCTGCCCCAAATCATATAGGTTATAGGATTTTTCATTCTTTTACGACATAATTGCTTTCAAGTTTTTTACCTTTGGCAATTTCCAAAAAGCATAGAATTCCCCCTCAAAGAGAGATAATTTGCCATTGTTTTAAAGAAGTTCGTTACCACTATTCAAGTCAATTTCAAGAGACAAATTCTAAGAATGTTTATGTAGTGGCGGTTATAGTTAGAATAAGTAAATGACCTTTAAAATACCTGTTTAGGTTGGATAATTTAAGAAGCAGAGGTACTATTAAAATTCCGTCACACTGCTTTATAGATATACTTAATCAATGGAAGGCATTGCAAGGAGCACCCAGTGTTATGGGTGGCACCACTTCTTGGGCTACAATAGAGTTCTGATGCCATCTCAGGCAACAAGGAGGAAGAGAGTCTGTACAGAATCACCACCTTCCGCGGGTATTTCAGGGAGCAAGCCAAATAAGAAACTTGAAACCTCACTTCTTTCAAATCAACCACTGCCTGCTCTTGAAATCTCACTGTGCCTGGGCACAATGACTGCTCTGGAAACTACAGCTTGGGATCCCTCAGAAATGCCTGTCATGTTCCTCCTCCCTCCTCCATTGCTCTCTGCTTGCCCAGCAGCTGTCAAGACCATACCTGGCTCCTGAACAATGGCCAAGAGACCTGCAGTGAACCTACCAGCTGCCAGCCGGCCAGCTGTGAGCCCAGCAACTGTGAAACTTCCAGCTGCCCTTCCTCTGGTTGCTATGTGCCCAGACCCTGCCAAGGCACCAGTTTTCTTCCTGCTTCTTCTTGCGTCTCTGGATCCTGCTTCCCAGTATGCTATAGACCTCTGAGCTATGTGTCTAGCAGCTGCCAACCCCTGAGACACCTCACTTATGGATGCCTCCCCTTGGGTTATTTGCCTGGTGGTCCTCATACCCACAGCATTACCCACTGTAATGCTTTTCTCCCTTGATCCACTGAAATTGTCTTTTCATACATTTACCCTTTCTATTATCGCCGTCATCACTCAAGTTGGGTTGCGTTCCCCTTTGGTGAATACATACATTTCTTACTGCCATCTTGACTCTTATCTCTAGTGTCTTCTCTTTAGCTTGAATACTGTGTTTAGAGTTAATACTACTAAAATTAATTTCATCATATGACTCTTACTCAAAAATGTCAATAACTCTCTTTTGCCCACAGAGAATTATCCAAACACTTGATTTTCCCTCCTCTACTTCCCAAAAGAGACTCTCTATATTTGCTTCATGTCTCCAATTACTCCACATCTGCCCTCATTTCATATCATCTTCTTGTTCACCCTACCCTTCCTCTCCTTTGGGATAATTCTTTTGGCATTGTGTCCAACAGCCTCAGACCCCTGCATCCTCTCTTCAGTGGATGCCAGCCCCTGACACATGTGTTTAGTACTTGCCATCCATCTTGCTCTGCCTGGGGAGGCCTGTAACTTCCTTATTCCAGCTAATAATCACACTGAAGATCCAAGACAAAAATTTAAACTCCATGGACTTTTGCTTCTTCTTTCCTAGTATGTAGTGACTGCTTTTTCTTGATTTTCCTGTGCCTGATCTAATGAAAGCTGTTCCTTTCACATTTTTATCTTTTTTTTCATCTCTCCTTGCCATACAATTATTTGGTTTAGAATGCTATTCAATGTCGCTTAGGTGTGGGAAGAATTTATTTGGTTTGGGTTGTAATAAATGAGCTTAAGTCAGAACTAAGAATCTGGTTCTTCAGTTTGTCTTTCATTATTTTATTTTAACACACACGTGGCCAACCTCAACTCCCTGCAGAAGTAACTAGGACATGGTACACTCAACCATATGTTTTTATCTCACAGTAGGGGAATAGCTTGATGGTTTATTCCTCAAGCTGATTTATAGATCTCTGATATCTCTGATCCTACATACTTAAGAGACCCAAAAAGCCCTTGGTGGAAGTTATATTGAAAAGGTAAGATTAGGAATGATTTCCTTATCTTTCTCTTCCAGTGAACATACTTTGACCAGAATGTCCTTTCTGATTGCAAACTGAATCATATTTCACTCTTGCTTAAGTCTTTGATGGCTTCTTATGATCTATTCCTATAAAATGAAAATACAGACCCCTTATCATGACATCTGTTTTTTTTTTCTTCATCGTCTTTCTCCCTCCCACTTCTTTGGCTTCATCTTCTCAGTATTGCAAATTCTAAGCTCCTATGATTCTACTTACACGTAGTTCCCCAAACATGCTGCTTCTTATAAGCATCCACACTTTTTCATGTCATCATCAAGACCAGGATGAACTTCTGATCTATCTACCCTGAAGACTCATAGTCACTTTTAAAAACACAGCCCAACTTTATTAAACTGTTAATTTATTCAGTAAAAGTTTTATTACTTACTTACTACATCCCAAGCCATCCTGTGCCAGGCACAAGAGATACACAGGTGCATAAGACAAACTTGAACTCTCTCAGTATTTACCAGAAGTCACATACTATGGGACATATCTGTATTAAAGGTACAATTTTTTCCTCATTCAACATAAAATGTGTAGGGGTATGTATTTCAAAAAATAAAGTAAGGGGCTTCCCTTGTGGTCCAGTGGTTAAGACTCCGTGCTTCCAATGCAGGGGGTGCAGGTTCAATCCCTGGTCAGGGAACTAAGATCCTGCATGCCGTGGGGCATAGCCAAAAATAAATAAATAAACAAACAAAACCAAAAAAAGTGCTGCTTTATCAGCAAACAGAATTTTAATAAATAAAATAAAACTAAAGTGTAAAGGCATGAATGTTCACCTTTTTGAGGAACTGTAATATTTAGAAACTTTGTCAGTGTGCAAGAAAGACAATGTTCTCTAGATGTTAACTAGTGGTTGTTCCCTTTAGAGAAGGCATGTACCCCTGGTTCTCGGAACCCATCTCTCCTCATGGATCTTCTGACATGGAAGCTGAATGTTGGTTTCTCTTATCACTATGTTCATGCTACTGTTTCAAAACCCATTTTAGTTCATTATTTTGCCTTACTTGCCTGGCTCTCCTAGATATTTTGAGTTTGTGACATCTGTATCCTTTATTTTTCGAAGCTTTTCCCAGGCCCTCTCCTTGCCCCTTACGCTAATGAGTAAATCACACCTTGACTTAGCTTTCCTTTTATCTCAGACATATTTCTATTGCTGATCTTGTTGGACTGATTATTTTTTAAAATAATTTTAAATGAGATTTTAGTTGAAATGTGATATACATATGAATTTGTACACAAATCGTTACTTCACAGATGTAGCCTTTGTTCTGACCTCTAACCCATATATTAGTTTTGCCTGTTTTTGAACTTTAAAATGAAATTATATAGTATCTACCAATTTGTCTTGGGCTTCTTTATTAAATATTGTGTTTGTGTGATTCTTGCACGCTGTTAAAAATACCAGTAGTCTGTTTATTTTCCTTTATGTGTAATATTCAAGGTACCAAAACACCAAAAGGTATTTATTCATTCTGCCGTTGCTGGTCAGAAGGGCTGTTTCAAGATTGGATCTGTTAGAAATAATGTATAAAATACTCTTTTATTCTTGTACATATCTTTTGATATACAAATGGAGATATTTCTATTGGGTAATATATTTAGGAGTAAAGTTGACAAATTGTATGAAACGTGCCTGCTCAGCTTTATTTTATACCATGACAAAGTTATGCCTTGTAGTTATACCAATATTGATTTCTACTCTCAAAAGCATAAGAATTCCAGTTGCTTTACATCCTCATCCATATTTATAATTGTTAGTTCTTTTAAGTTTAGCTATTCTAGTGAGTGTGTAGTTATAAGGAATATTGGTTTTATTTTGAATTTCTCTGTTGATTCATCAGGTTGAGAACATTTTTAAAATGCGTCTGGCCATTTGAATATTATTTGTGTGTGTGTGTGTGCGTGTGTGTGTGCGTGTAGTAGATATTCAGGTCCTTAGCTCATGGTTTTAGTTGGTGGTCTGTTTTTAGGATGCTAAGAGTCTTTTATGTAGTCCATATATTAGGTCTTTGTTGGATATATATATATTTAATATCTTCTCCCATATCACTGCCTGCCTTTTCACTTAATCATGCCTTTAGACTGGTACAGGTTCCTTACTTTAAGTTAGTCCAATTTATCAATCTTTTATTTATGGTTAGTACTTTTTTGTCCTTATTAAGAAAATTAATGAAGATACTACATGATAACTTTAGAAAATGTTTTTTGTTTTCCTTTCAACATTTAAATATACCATCAATGTGAAATTCGTGTGTGTGCGTGTGTGTGTGTGTGTGTGTGTCCTAGGGGCCAAAATTGCAGTTGATCCAGCACCATCTCCTAAAACCGTGCTCCATTTTCTACTGCAGTTCAATGCCCTTGGTACATAAATCAAGTATCTATATATGGGTGTGTCAATATCTAGACTCTTTATTCTGTTCTATTCACTATTTGTCTATTCTTAATTTTGTCATGCTTAATTTTTCATTTCATTTGTATTTCTGAACTCTTCTCCAGAATTTGAGCTCTTTGAAGGTTCCTTTTGGTCAACATATGACTAGACTTTCTGTAAAGGTTTGTGGATCTGAGTTTAAATAAATTATATTTTGGGTCAAATGGTAGTGAAATCTAGGGAAAGTGGTATTTAGATTTAGGATAGTACTGATGAGAAATTCTACATGTTGTATTTTTTTTTCCATTTGGAGCTTTATTCTGTGTGGGTGGAGACAAATATTCACTTCTCATCTCCCCATAGTTCAAAATTCTAAGAGCTGGATAGTTAAGGGAAACTTTATATCCAATATTCCATGACTAGATAAGACTTGCTGATAGCTATACGTTAGCCCACATGTGATAATTTTGTGTTGCCAGCTGTGGGTCATGATTCTTATTTAATTACTTTAATATCTGGCAAGGTAGTGATAATTGTTCCTAATTTAGCCAAGATCATACAGATTGTAAATTACTGAGCTGAGAGTTATTTCCAAGTTTTCTTAAAGCGTATGTTTCTCTAGTAAACTACATTGTGATTACAGAACAAAATTTTGTTTACTTTAGCCAACTAATTCCAGATCAATATATTGATATTAGCTGATACTTATTGACTTATAGCTTCATAGATGTATTTCCTCTGGCTAAAATAAGTGGAGGATAGGTACTTAAGCTTTTTTTTCCTCAAAAAATTAAAAATCCTTTATTAATATTTAAGCACTAATGTGTTGATTGTGATTAACCCTCTGGGTATATTGTCTTTAAACTGGATATCAGAGGACTGCCTTCCTTCTGTCAAACCATGAACTCAAATAATATATTGTCCTTCTTTAATGAACTCCAATCAAGAGAGCACTTTAGGGCTCCATCATAACCAATCATGAAGCATTGTCCCTGGAGTTCAAAATCAGACAGAATCATCTTTTCCTTATCTTGTCTAAGATAGACTGAAGAAAATTAAATATTTACACTTGAATGATAATTAGGTTAGGCTTTAAAGCAGCACACATAAGGAAAACAATGTAGGGCTAGTCTAGCAGATTGTTCAGATATTTTGAGCTGAGATTTTGGAATCTGAGTTTTTACTCAAAGCTTAATTCTGAATAATCACTTCTCCATATAGAGAGTAGTTTCTTTCTTCTCCACTGGAACATTTTCTAAAAATTAGAGAAGGTGAAGCCATTGGGGGTGACTCTTTTTTTTATTTTACATCTTTATTGGAGTATAATTGCTTTACAATGGTGTGTTGGTTTCTGCTTTATAACAAAGTGACTCAGTTATGCATATACATATGTTCCCATATCTCTTCCCTCTTGTGTCTCCCTCCCTGCCACCCTCCCTATCCCATCACTCCAGGCGGTCACAAAGCACCTAGCTGATCTCCCTGTGCTATGCGGCTGCTTCCCACTATCTACCTTACGTTTGGTAGTGTATATATGTCCATGCCTCTCTCTCGCTTTGTCACAGCTTACCCTTCCCCCCCCATATCCTCAAGTCCACTCTCTAGTAGGTCTGTGTCTTTATTCCTGTCTTACCCCAAGGTTCTTCATGATATTTTTTTTTCTTAAATTCCATATATACGTGTTAGCATATGGTATTTGTCTTTCTCTTTCTGACTTACTTCACTCTGTATGACAGACTCTAGGTCCATCCACCTCACTACAAATGGCTCAATTTCATTTCTTTTTATGGCTGAGTAATATTCCATTGTATATATGTGCCACATCTTCTTTATCCATTCATCCGGTGATGGACACTTAGGCTGCTTCCATCTCCTGGCTACTGTAAATAGAGCTGCAGTGAGCATTTTTGTACATGACTCTTTTTGAATTATGGTTTTCTCAGGGTATATGCCCAGTAGTGGGATTGCTGGGTCATATGGTAGTTCTATTTGTAGTTTTTTAAGGAACCTCCATACTGTTCTCCATAGTGGCTGTATCAATTCACATTCCCACCAGCAGTGCAAGAGTG